GGAAGTTTCACATGTGCTCTTCGCGGTTACCCCGCCAGCAGCGTCGGATGGTCTGGTGGATAGCGATGAGGGCGTCGAGTTGGGATGGCTAGGCTGGGTTGATGGTTCAAATCCTCGGGGCTTTGCCTTTTTTGCATTTTTTTGCTGCTACCTCCAGATTGGCTCCATATTACACCATGGCCAAAGCAAGCGTCTGACTGGTCATGGTTGTCTGACTGGTCATGGTTGTGGCCAGGACCAGCGATAACCTCTACAACTTGAATTTTACTGATATTGACTGATTTTTCTTCATCGACATTGGTTAGTTATTTCAATTAACCCAAACTTCATCATAATTCGAGGATATTCGAAAAATAGGAAGAAATAATGTGTTTTGGATCCCGACCGCAAGCTGGGTTTTGATGTTGTAAGGGAAAGGAGTATGTGGACGGAAGGCATAAGTAGGGTGGGAGTGAAGTCCGAGGCCAAATTCCTCCACAACTCGCCATCCTTGCACCAGATACTGCGGCGAAATGGCAACACTTAAAAAGAAGTTCAAGTCCGAATTTACCTCTGGTTGATTCATCAGAAGCGATGGGTTTACTACCAACCAGAGCAGCTGGGACTTTTTACTAATTCTGTTCACCCACTCCCTAACACGATCTCTGATCGGAGCCGTTGCAGAAAAGTTCCATTGATGAATTTTCCCGGAGAAAAATAAGGACCCCACCCATTCAATGCTAAAAAGGAGATCAGGACTAGAATGAATCTTCGTAGGAATAACCAGTTACAATGTCCACCAATTTCGAGCCAATTCCTTTGATATCAACTCGAACTCCGCATAGCAAAAGAGAATAGAATTCATGTGCTAAACCCTTTCTTTTCCTGTTTTCAATCATTACTGCTGTTTTAGATATAATACTATATAAATACCTCCATGCTAAGTATTCTAAAAAAAGCCAGCATGGACATCAGAAGGGGTCCAGCTAACAGATTTATTCCGTAAGGAATTTCTGCTGCTCTGATGACCCTCTAGGTTTAAGCTTACTTAACCAGAACGGACTTCAATTTCCGGAGTATTTCACTTTCGAAGAAACTCTGTAGGGGGTGAAACGATTTCCGATATCAGAGGTACATATATGATTAGAGAATATGTTACGCACGAGTACACTTCAACACCTCCTACGTCCACATAAAATGAATTCAACAATAAAATACGTAAAAGAAAATACAAAAATTTAAGCCGCATCTAGTCGAATTATTCTATCGCCTTACTGATAGCTAAAAATGCAGAACAAATGCACAGATGCGGTGTGAAGAAGAGTTTCAATCGCATAAATAACAATGCCATAACAAGCCGTCTGCACAACATTAGAAAACTTGAACGAATGAATATTCGAGAATTAGTGACAAAATTTATTTCTCTTTCTCTTGTAGGACTGTCCCACGGATACTTTTACTGATACCGTCTCAGTCAATATCAGTAAAATTCAAGTTGTAGAGGTTATCGCTGGTCCTGGCCACAACCATGACCAGTCAGACGCTTGCTTTGGCCATGGTGTATAAGGAGCCAATTTGGAGGTGGCAGCAAAAAATGCAAAAACGGCAAAGCCCTGAGGATTCGAACCATCAACCCAGCCTAGCCATCCCAACTCGACGCCCTCATCGCTATCCACCAGACCATCCGACGCTGCTGGCGGGGTAACCGCGAAGAGCACATGTGAAACTTCCCCGCACTTTCCAGTCCCTTTTTTGGCTACCGTTCACGTTATTTTCAATGCGCAGTCCACTGGCGCCTTCCAATGTGCGGACAGTCGACGCCATGAATGAAACAAATGACGCTCAGTGGGTTAAAACGGCAATTTTTTGCAAAATTTTTTTCACCCCTTTTTTGGCATTCAGAAGGCCATTTAGCGGAAATGGACCATAGTTTTATACTCAGTGCTCATGCCCCTATACCATGCAAAAAACCATTTTCGAAAATCGTCCCACGCCCTGAAAGACCTCCCTTGTCAGTATTCTATGTAAAGACGAGTTTCCACGATATGAGAGGAGGTGTACATGAAGCCTTAACAATTTCTACCCATTTGTGGACGTTTGTTGCTCGGTGGTTTTAATATTTTCAGTAACGTAACGTTAACGTTCTTGTTAGCTGGATCACCATCGCTAGAAGATTACGCAATTTTTAGGTAAAGCTACACAGCACGATGATCAGCTGGGAAATTAAAGTGATATCCAGTTTTACTCATAGTTCCTTACTTATTTTATTTGATTATTTTTTCTAATTATGTTTTAGATTATATTCAGTTGCATGACTTCATTATTTTTTGAGGGTGATGAATAGAAGAACAGCATTGCACACTGAAGAATCTTTCTCGGTGTTCGGTTAATATAATTTTGATAATTATTCGAAATGCTCATTGTTTTTCTACAGTTGTGCTCAGAAATTTTGCAATACTATTTTCTAACTGCTTCTAGCTTTTCTCACGGAAAGTTTATTTTTGCGTTTTATTGGATCATGGCTGAGCCCTCTAAAAATGACAGATGGAAAGTGTCTGTGACAGTTACCACAGAGCTGGCGCCCTCTGCACCCTCTGCGGTTTTGAACTACGCTGTCAATTCGCTGGGAGGTCCTCTCGGCGGGTTGTGGTTAGGGGCTCATACGGTAATCGATAAATGGTTATTGGGAAGGGGTCGGCAGCGCGCTTGGCCTTGGTTTTGAGGACGCTTGCTCTACGTGATCAGCCCCTCGGAGGCCCCTGAAGCTAGTAGACCCGAGGCTCACCCTATATGAACCGCAGTCATAGTCATAAAGGTTAGTTAACGACTCCTGAGTTCGTATTCCACGCCTTTGGAACTTCCTGTGTAGGTTGAAAGAGTGCTTGACCAAATGGTATCTCAAATGGTTTTTGTCTTTCCAGGCTCCGAGGAAGGTGCAAGCACCGAAACGTAAGCCGATTAAAGTATTTGTGCTGGCGGTTCAGTGGATTTTATATACTCCGATTAATTCGGAGTAGAATAAAACAAGTAAATAGTGAGCGCGGACGTTACCGCTAGTAAAGAACAGAAGAATAGGAAATAAGTCTTTATCTGAGTGCAAAACCTACGTCTCGCCCTTGACGTTGTTCGAGGTAGAATGAGGTACCCACTCATCTCGGGGCCGTTTGACCCCGCACCTTTTTAGGGGCGTGGGTTACGCTAGAGGGAGTCCTCTCAGACAGTGAGACGACGAGATAGTTATGGTGAAGTGATCGTCGCCTTAGATGACGATAGTATTGTTTAAATGTCGGTTTTCACAGCTGGGGAAGTAAAACTCACAACTGGAAGGAATCATGTCGATATTCATAGACAGTCAGACGTGGACACGATTTGATTTGTGTTCTTTCAGAATTCCTCCAAACCGGAAGGGAATGTGCGCACAGTGCCTCAGCCAGCAAAAGTATAGGTACGGCTTCAATCTTCCACATTCTGTTGTTTTCCACTCCTTATCCTTATCTTACAAGGGAAGGATCCCAAGTCGAAGTGGCCATTTGAAATGGGACCCACACCGCTAGGCGTATTTTTTGACGCTGATTCCAAATCTGCATTCAAAAACTGCCAAGCGATTCTCTGAACGAACTTATGGAGGTAGTCTCCGGGGAACGCTCAACAGGGGAAAGCATAAAAGCCATGGTCGCAGGGAACCCAGCAGTGGCGGCTTGGAGTGGAGGTAAGCGTGAC